CAGGCGTCCGGGGGACCGGATCTGATAAATTTTTGCATTCTAGACATCAAAATTACTGCTCAGATGCTCTCAGAATGCACCAATTTAAAAAGAAAATCTTGGGGGAGGTCCCCCCCCCCTAAGTGGCCTTCGGCAGCTTTTTAAAACACCAGAAAAAGTAAGCAGGAAAAAGTGCCCTTTATTTCTTCCTGGACACCCCCTTTTCAAAAATCCTGGATCCGCCCCTGTGAACGGGCGCGATCATATTAGGTGTAGTCTAGTAAAAATGCTTTCATTATGTAAAAAAACGATCAGGAGTATATAGTGCGTAATTGTTACTTTATTAGTATGCACTCCTGAACACTTTGTGTTGTCGCGTGTTCAGCAGTAGAAACCGCATAAGACGCGATTGCGCGTGTGTGTCATTCACCAACGATAACCGAGGGAACACGCCGCATATGAGTTGGATAATGATGAAATGGCAAAAACCGATCGAGTGTGACTGCCAAGCTATGATTAAAGTTTCAATCGATGAGGCTAAACCGCAGACATGTATCCTATAAACAGCAAATAGAGCTTGACCTTATTACGTATGAAATCGCGCATTTATTTGAGCTATATAAATACCAAGCTCCTGTCTTCCAACCGCACGCACGCGTTAAAGCTACGCATGTGTTGTAAATACTTGGGATGAAAGACATCGGGATTGTAGCAACGATGTGTGTTAAGCATAGATTTATCGTAGATTATGTGCAATACTACGGCGTCTTCCGAGTTACTTAAGAATGCGATCTTTTTGCCCCGAATAAAGCGGATCCAGTATCAAATAAAATAGAAATTATAATATATAAACGTTCGCGGTGTTCCTTGTTTAACAACGATGTGGAATTCACAACTAGGCCGATTTGTTTATGAGAGGATGCGTTTACGTTCCACGCTGATATTCCCTGAAACGAGTCTGTGAAAACAAAAGCCGCTCTCGCCATCTGCTACCGTATTTCGACGCAGATTGCGTATGAATGCAAGTTGTCACATGAGTAACCCTAATTACCGAAACAAGACTGCATGGTATCAGGAGTCTATCAATATTGATACACTCCTGATGGTATGCGTAACAAATTGTTGTTTTTTAGCAAAAGGGGGGTACCATGCAGTTATATAATTAATTAAGGGTGTTATGATCCAAATACCTTAGTAGCGCGATATTGATAGAATATAAATCTGTATAAAATTATAATATACATTAGAGCAAGTTTTCAAGACAGCATATGTTTTTTCATCAGGCGATAAGTTAATTAATTAATTATATATATATAAGATCGCATTAACAATATATATCTATGTCAATATAAAACGTACGAAACAATGTACAAACAACGTACGAAACAATGCACGAACAACGTATGCAACAATGTACGAAACAATGTAACAAAAACAAAGTAGAGCCACAATAGCGAACAAACCGTTTGATACATCTTCGTGATTTCATTCACATATCATCGCCATCGAACATTTCAGGTATTCTACTCGGCGCCAGTGCTTCAGGGTACGAGCATGGATGCAGGGTAGGACCCTACGTCACACCTGGCGGCCTATCCGCTCTCCGGATGCCAGGAATGTCGGCCCTCGACCCGACCCGACTACCGCACATATTCCCATACGAACACTTCGGCCTCAGCTCGGCACTAGCCGCAGCGAGCAGCAACAGTCATTTATCAGGTAACATCGTCAGTAAGTGCGGAGGATATCTCTGATCCCGCTGGAGGAAAGTACCTTAAAATTTACCCGATTACACGATTAATTTCTACTTTATTGCGTAGTGATCGCTGCACGGTAGGCAACCGGCAAGTTGCTATCGTCTTGCTTTACGCATCGCAGGCTGTGTGTCGTCATTGGGCTCAACCTTACTTTGGGACATAAATCGTCATTACCTTCCTCTTATCTCTAATCCTAACTTTAACCCTTTCTCTAACCCTAGCTTTTAACTTGACACGATTGCTAACCCATATTTAACCATACCCTAACGCTAATCCTAACATAGTCCTAAGCCCATCCGGGGGCCCATTGTCAGAAAAAAGGTAATCTTCACTGTAGTCGTAGCATTTTTTCTCGCAGACGGTTCAGAAAAACATCGTAAAGGGATGAGAATGACTGTTACTGTTACCGCTACCGATACCGATACCAATACCCGCCGCCCGTTATTGTTATTGTTATTGTCATTGATATTATTATCGTTATTGTTATTGTTATTGTTATTGTTATTACTATTGCTATTACTATTGTCATTGTCATTGTCATTGTCATTGTTATTGTTATTGTCATTGATATTATTATTGTTATTGTTATTATTATTGTTATTGTTATTGTTATTGTAACATTTATGTTGCTGCTATTGTTATTGTTGTTACAGGGCTACCGGCGAGTTTCGGGTTACCTCACACTGGTCACCCTCCTTCCCTCGCATCCATGTTGTTCTACCCATCTCCTCACTACTCGTTTGCCATGCCGGCTCTACTCACCGAATCCCTCTATAAGGCGAACAAGAGCAGCAGCATTGCCGACCTGAGACTGAAGGCGAAGCAACACGCGGCAGCTCTCGGATACCAGTCGTGAGAACTCGCGAGATCTCATCGATGACGACGGCGTCTGCTGGTGTGCGAACGCTGGGGACTCTCTGATGGAACACCACGGGCAAGGATGAGGAGCCGAGATGTGAGGTCCGATCACCCCGGGGAGCTGTCGACAATTTATAGCGATGGATCGTTGAGAATTGAGTCTATACGAATGACCTCAGTGGGCTTTCAGAACTCTGCCCGCCAAATCCTATATTGGAACGCAACTACGAAAGCAGCTTTCCGTGAAATAGTTGAACTGAAGGAATAAGGAAGACGGCCCATCCTTCACCGAGGTTGCATGACTCGCTCCCATGTGAAGCGGATTGGTCATATGTTCAGAATAGCGGACCTACGTTAGGTCAGAAAGTTACTAACACAATCCAAACTACGGCCGGGGCGGATCCAGAAGGGGGGTCGAGGGGGTCCGGACCCCCCCTTTTTACCACAAAAAAGGGAAAAAAGCATACACACACACGCACGCACGCACGCACGCGCGGCAACACACACACAGACAGCACCACACACACACACAACACACACCACACACACACACACCCACACAGAGGCAGACAAGACACACACACAACCACACACACACACACACACACCACACACACAACACACCACAACACACAACACACACACACACACACACACACTTTTCTTGATATTTGTCCTCCATAAAAAATCTTGTTTAGCGTAGTTTTTCTTATTAAAGATTTACTTATATATATATATATGATGTAAATTCGTTATAAAACTGCAAATGGCAAGAGGGGTCCGCAGGCGTCGCGGGGACCGGATCGGATAAATTTTGCATTCTAGACATCAAAATACTGCTCAGATGCCTCTCAGATGCCACCAAATTTAAAAGAAATATCTTGGGGGGGTCCCCCCCCCCTATAGTGGCGCTTCGGCAGCCTTTTTAAACACCAGAAAAAGTAAGCAGGGGAAAAAAATGCCCTTTATTTCTTCCATGGACACCCCCTTTTTCAAAAATCCCTGGATCCGCCCTGTGAACGGGCGCGATCATATTAGGATGTAGTCTAGTAAAAAAGTTGCTTTCATTATGATAAAAAACGATCAGCGAGTATATTAGTGCGTAATTGTTCTTTATTAGTATGCATCCTGAAACACTTTTGTGTTGTCGCGTGTTCAGCAGTAGAAACCGCATACGACGCCGATGCGCGTGTTGTTCATTCACAACGATAACGACGGCGAACACGCCGCATATAGTTGGATAATTGATGAATGGCAAAAGCGAGTCGAGTGTGACTGCCAAGCTATGGATTAATAGTTTCAATCGATGAGGCTTAAACCGCAGACATGTATCCTATAACAGCAATAGAGCTGACCTTATTACGTAGTGAAATCGCGCTTTATTGAGCTATATAAATACCAAGCCTCCTCTGTCTTTCACGCACGCACGCGTTAAGCTACGCATGCTAGTTGTAAATACTTGGATGAAAGGACATCGCGGATTGTAGCAACGTGTGTGTTAAGCATAGATTATCGTAGAATTTATGTGCTAATACTACGGCGTCTTCGAGGTTACTTTAAGAATAGCGATCTTTTTGCCCCCGAATAAAGCGGATCCAGTAATCAAATAAAATAGAAATTAAAATATATAAGACGTTCGCGGTGTTCCTTGTTTTAACAACGAATGTGGAATTCACAACTAGGCCGATTTTTTATGAAGGATGCGTTACGCTTCACGCTTGTATTCCCTGAAACGAAGTCTGCGGAAAACAAAGCCGCTCTCGCCATCTGCTTACCGTATTTCGACGCAGATTGCGTTATGAATGCAAGTTTGCTCACCATGAGTATCCCTAATTACCGAAACAAGACTGCATGGTATCAGGAGTCTTCCATATTGATACACTCTGATTGGTGATGCGCTAACAAATTGTTTGTTTTTAGCAAAAAAGGGGTGGTACATGCAGTTATATTAATAATTAAGGGTGTTATGAATCCAAATACCTTAGATAGCGCGATATTGATAGACTATAAATTCTGTATACAATTATAATATACATTAGAGCCAGTTTTCAGACAGCCATATCGTTTTTTATCAGGCGATTAAGTTAATTAATTAATTTATATATGAAGATCGCCATTTTAAATATATATCTATGTCAATTATGCAAAATTCTGTATTATTATATTATATATATATATATATATATATGTCTACTTCTTTTGACATTAAACCTGTGCCTCGCGCAAAAGTCAATACGAAATGCGGGATGCGCAGGGCACAGTTTAATGACAAAAGAAGTAGACACCGGAAGCATATAATAGCCATGCAAATCATCATTACATTTCCCGCTTCCGCTCCCACACGCAATAATCTTAGTTCCGATAGGTTAGATCATAAACACGCCACATATTTTGATATGATTTTGCGTTACCGGGGATTTTAGTGGTGCCATCTCGTGTCGGGTACGGTCTCCGACAATGAACTGGAATTTTTATCAATGGAAGTTGCTCTGATATCCGTGATTATTTTTCATTAGAAAGTTTTCATTGACACGATTTTTAGAAAAAGGCAGAATAAAACTTAAAAACTATAGATTGGGATGATATTAGATTTAATAATAAAGAGGGACAGCTTGGTTTTTATGATTTTATTAATTTATATTTATTCGCTAAAATTTAGACAGGTATACTTGCAACATACAGTTACAGCTTCAGTTATAGTAATAAGTGATATTATATAAATACATGTGTGCATGCGTGTGTATTACATTTTTGGGCACTAATATTAGCTGCGTTCACATGTATACACGGCTTAGCTGAGTACCGCTACTCAGTCGTGCTAAGTCCGGCTTAAAATGCGTTCGACACGAGATAAACGACGATTCGAGGCCTTACTAAGCGCCGGTATTAATATAGGACTGTTACCCGGTCGACAGTTCCACATGCTCCCTAACGTGTGGCGCGAACGGGTAGCAGTTCTAGGTTCACACGACAATCAATACGCGGCCAGCGTGGTGCGAATATACGCTGGTTAGTTGGCGCGGCAAATATGATTCCGCGCTTAGCAAGCCGGAGCATTCGCGGCTAAGCAAGCCGTGGCTAAGCAAGCCGCGTATATTTTAGCGTGTGAACGCAACTTTCTCCTCGTGTGAACGCAGCTTATATATATATACATACATACATAATATTATCGTGGATTTTATTAAATAAGTGTGTTAAGAAATGCTACCATGCAGAATGTTGAGTGGATAAGAACGAATAGTTTTTCACTCCTGGTGTTGTTTTCTGTTTGTTAATATTAGTGTTCGTATCTTAATGACCTTTAGTGATCTCTCGAATCGGTATTGGGTCCGTACTTAATATGTAGGAGCATACAGCGAACAAGAACCGATACCGCGATCGTCGCCAATTTCCATAGGAAAAGGGACACGTACTGTCGCCGTAACCATGTGTAGATGGTTGTACATAAATATGTACTTGCGCCTTGCCTAGAAGATTTAGACTAGGCCTACCGTATTTGTAAATTGTATAGTCTATATAGCCTAGGCCCTAGGGCCCTACTATACTATAGTATAGAGTAAATAGACTATGGTTTTTATGAGGAAACACCGACTTTTCCTGTAGAAGAATGGCTTTCGTCGTAAGTAGTCATTATTATTATTATGTTATGAATATGAGTTATACTAGTAACTACTATCTTAGATTCTTACCACTGAGGAGGTATATAGGACTATACTCACTGGACTATATCTATATAGTATACATATACCTATAGGTAGTATACCGGTATATACAAGATTCAAGATTCAAAAATGTTTATTTGTGCATATAGTGCTGCATACGACATACATACATACATGATACTGTACAAAGATAGAGAGCATGGAGAGATTGAGAACTATGTAGCGTAACACAGACTACAGTGTACAACGGAAGATATGAGAATGACAGGTCACAATACATGATTTGACAGGTGAAGCACGGGGGTGGCGAAGGACCTGAAGGTCATCAAAGTCTGCCACCCCTGAAAAGATTAGTTCATAGACAGGCAGCTGAATCATGAGTTTAATTAGGTTATTGATTGAAACAAATCCAGCCAGGCATACAAGTATCAATGTTCCGATATGAAATGAAATTAATCCAACACTCATTCCGTAAATTCAGTTATTCTAACAACCTAATAAACGTTAATACAGTATTGACAAGTAAGACAACGATACTCAATATGTATATCACTAGCTGCGTTCACACGAGGATTTCGGTTCCGTAGTCCGTACTCACGGACCGTTCACACGGTAAAAATATTCAAGACTTAAATACGCGGCTTAGCAAGTACCGTACTGAAATACGAGGCTTATTCCGCGCTGAAACATTCGGCACCACGCTGGCCGCGTATTGTCTGTCGTGTGAACGCAATTCGAGGCCTCTTACTGTAGTGCGCTTACCTAGACTGGTACCCGTTCGCTACACGACGTTATATTAGTGTAGCGTGTGGAACTGTCGAACCAGTCTATATTATACCTAGCCAGCTAAGCCTCGATTCTCGTGTGAACGCTCCAGGTTGTGTTAGCACGGTATTTCAGCCGAATTCAGCACCAGATAAGCACGGAACCAGCGAGGCCGTGAATCTCGTGTTAACGCAGCTATATACTCATATACAGTGCATGGTTAGAAAATGAAAACAAATAAACGCGAAAGAGTATATATACAAATGATAACATATTATATATATGTACAAGTCTGTGTAAAGGTTACTGAGGTAAAACAGCAATAGCCTATAAAAAAAAGCTTAAAGAAGCTCTCGAACTAAAGAATGAGGTAGGCAGTACATGAAGTAAAATAAGCAATATATAACCAGTATTTATACAATATTGGAAATTCATGTACAATATATGTACAATACAATACTTTACAATATATGTACAATTCAATATAATACAATACATTACAATGTACAGTACAGTGATAATACAATTTATGTACAGTACAGTTTACAATACTATACAATACAAAATATAAACAATGTACAATACAATACATTACAATGTACAGTACAGTGATAATACAATTTATGTACAGTACAGTTTACAATACTATACAATACAAAATATAAACAATGTACAATACAATACATTACAATGTACAGTACAGTGACAATACAATACGAATACAACACAAAATACAAGCAATGTATAATAGATGTTCACTTATATAGCATCATTAATAGGCTCTTCCTAAATAAATGTTTGAATTTTGAGAAGGGTAAACTTTTTATATATTTTGGTATATCGCTCCAT